TTATTACAATTGAAGCTATTCAGACTATTTTTTTTCCCTTTCTTGTTTGAGAGTCCTTTCAAGTCGTTTAACTTACAGGAAAATATGTAGAGAAAAATTATAAAATGTTTTTTTCTCTGTATGTTATATATATGCTCACATTTATATTTACATATAAAAACATACATGCATATACTCCTATGACATATATGGCTTACTGGAGGATGCTTATATAGAAATATATAGAAAAATATAGAACTTATATAGAAATCAGCAATATCATTCAGTGTGTATCTTTTTTTGGGTGGTTTGAACTCAAGTATACTCAACCACTGAGCCACATCCCCAGCCCTATTTTGTATTTATTTATTTATTTAGAGACAGGGTCTCACTGAATTGCTTAACGTCTCACCCTTGCTGATGCTGTCTTTGAACTCGTGATCCTCCTGCCTCAGCCTCCCAAGCTGCTGGGATTATAGGCATGTGCTATCGCACCCAACCTCAATATGTATCTTTTAATATTATCTTTTAGTATGTAGAGATACATGCTATAATTTTTATGAATGGAATGGTATGTTGTCTAGCATTGACTTCAAAATAATCCATGGAAGACTGATGAAGTGGGTGACATTATAAATAAAGCAATATTGTCTATAAATTGTTTAAACCAGGTGATGGCTATGCTGGGTTTCATTTTTTTTTTGGTCCTCCTTTGTATATTTGAAATTTTCCATTATAAGAAGTAGAAATAAAATGTATGCCATTACAGTGCAAACAGCTATGAGGAAACATCAGCTTCTCAAAAGGTTATATCTACATGGGAGATGCACTGTGGAGAGGTTAGAAAAATCAGTATTTTAGTATCAGTATCTAATTTAGTAATAGTGGTCCATAGGAGTTATTTTGAGAGCTTAAGTGTTAATGAAGTCATTTAAAGATACTTTAAACCTTACTTCTTCTCACAGTATTTTTTACATGATGATATACATAGAAAATGATAATATTATAACGTTAATTTGGATGCACTGTGGCTAAACAGAAGGACTGTTTAAGGTTGGGGTAAGTTCCCTTGGAGTTCTAGCTGCTGCAGACCTCTTCTGCTGCCCCAGGGGGCTGAAGGGATCGGTGTCTAATATGCCCATAGGACACACAGGTAGAAATCTGTGTTTTATCAGGTGTGACACGCAGGTGAGGGAAAGAAAGTGAAAACCACATGCTTCGTGCATATGGGAAACAGTGATCCCAAATAGTGGGATGGGGTGATGGAGTGATGCAGTGTCGTGAAAGTAAGAAGGAAAGGACAGTAAGTCATGATGGGGCAATAGAGAACAAGCCTTCAGATGGCTTCCTTCTGTCTACGACCAAAGAGATCAAGGGCTTAGGTGAGGAAGGTTGTCTCTGATGGCTGAACTGGTAAGAAAACTAGTTACTAAAATCAGACCTAGATGGATGCTGATACTAGTAAAGTTTGGCTGTAGCCTAAAGCTTTCTCAGTTGAACTTTATACAACAAATGGAGAAAGTGGAGACAAGATCATTTAAGAGGAAGGGAGGGACTAGAAAGGTAAGGTTTAGAAATAACTATCTGTTTTAAAAAGAAAATGGTTACTTTTTTTTGAATGTTGGCTGGACACAGCAACATTAATCTAGGAAATCTAGATTAAGTAAATCAGCAGGAGTTGGAAATGAATACTTTTTATTACTTTCTAATTGGTGAAATTTAGTAATATCTATTACAGGCCCAAGATAAGAGTTGTATTGGAAGGGAGATATAGAAAAGTATTGTCCTTAATTGAAATAATGTGGCAATGACATCATAAAAAATAGAAGAAATATTCTCCCCCTCTAACACCATCTTTTCCGTTTTGTTTATTATTTTTTGTAAATTATTCCTATATTTACATTTTAAAGATATAAGGCTAGGCCAGGCATGCATGGTGGTGTATGCCTATAATCTAGCTACTCAGAAGGCTGAGGAAGGAGGATTACAAGTTCGAAGCCAGCCTCAGAACTTAGACCCTCCCTCAAACTTAGAAAAATGAAAAGGAGTAGGGATACACAGACCCAGCACCCCTGAAATTGAATTTCCATCATCCTCTCACCAAAACAAGAAAGATGCTGAGTCATTATAAGTACAGTGTTCTATTCCATTTTTTAATCTAGTTCTAAAAAAGCACTAAGTTTTGATGATCTTCACAAATACTTTTTTTTTTCCCTCTGATATTGGGGATTGAACTCAGGGGCACTCAACCACTGACCCACATCCCCAGCCCTATTTTGTATTTTATTTAGAGACAGGGTCTCACTGAGTTTCTTTTCTTTCTTTCTTTCTTTTTTTTTTTTAGAGAGAGAGAGA